CGTACCAAGTTTCATTTTAATCATCCCTACGAGGAGTTTGTTCAAATACAAGGCGAAGAAATTGACGAAAATCACCGCAAAAATCAATATTGCTGACTTTTGACGGCATGCCACGGTCACGCCCTTCAACATACAGTCACAAATAAGACAACTTATAATCAGCAATTTTTTTTTGACTCTACTGATCAGTTTTGAAGTCGCCAACATTGGTGTTCAGTTCCGGACCTTCATTAGACAAGTGACATTTGGGGCCGATTGGACAATGTACACTCAAGTTATAGCAAATTCATGTGCGTCCATGTTTGACGCCACGCCGCAGACAAGCCCTTCAACGACAACTCATCACATTCATCACATACCATCAACAATACGTTTTGCATTTTCTGACCAGATTTCAGCTGGATCTAATCTGACTACTAGGAGTAGAACGTAGTATAAGTATAAAATAAAGTATAAAACATGATATTTCCTGTTACCAGTAGGTGGCCCTATCACTATATCTGAATATTGTTATGTAGACGTGTTCGGGGTGGGATTCTTATCATACGCGTGAAGTTTTGTTGAGATCGGATCTTGTACGCTGAAGTTCCTTTTTCATTGTGAATCGTTGAAATTGGACGCCATTTGACGCACAGTCACAAATAGCACGGCTTTTAATTGTGATGCTGTTTACATCATACTTACCAAATTTGAGGTTGATCCGATCACTTCCCTAAGAGATGTTTTAGATGTTGTTAGAATTCCTACAATTATTATAGGTCTTTGCACTGGTCAGTGCTATGGCCTTAATAATCTGTCTGTTCGTCTCTTCCAGTTTTGAGCCGTTGATGCTGAGGAGGCCGGACTCACGCCGCAGCACCACCCAGACGTGGTACTTCAGCTCAGGGATGCTGACCTGCGGCCTTCCCCGGCTGGTAGTACAGGTGGGTAGCTTTGTTCATACAGTATGTCTTGGATGTGGAATTCGAAAAATGTTGTGTCTAGAACTGCTCTCTTCTGTAAGGCTGTGGAGTTTAGAGTCCTCACATGTATACATTACTGCTCAAATGTTTGGGGTCACCTGTTATATTGATGTTTTTCTTTTTTCATAAAATAATGGCTATTTTAATATAGATTTTATTAAAAGTATAATTTAGACAGCAAATGCATTATTTACATTTGAAATAATTAAAGAAAAATTTATAAAATTATTAAAACTTCCATTTAGCCGATGTTCCCACAGTGCTATATGACGGGGAGAAGACTGTTGTATGTTTCCATTTTGATTTTGTTTTTCAGTCCAGAAGAGCGTCAGTGACCAGAGATCATTATTGAACCGCAACGGTGCAGCTGTGCTCTGAATATTTAGGGAACCAGTTTTTATTTCAGTCCATAGTATGTTCAGCTGATATTCAGTAGTAACTCTGGACCAAACTTCTGTTTCTGTTCTGAAGTTTTAAGAATAGTTTTGCTAAAGCAGCACGTCTGTTAATTACAGCTCATTATTACAGGCATTATTGTGAACTTCACACTGAAACCTGGAACCTGTTCCTGTTTAAATCTGCACAGATTTTGATGCTAAGCTTCCCATTTATTTGACCAGTGACTGCTGATATCTTATTTCCTATTAGGCCCGAGCACAAATCGTGCGAAGGCCCTATTGTAATTGTAGCAATTATTAGGGCCCGAGCACAAATCATGCGAAGGCCCTATTGTATCTGTAAAGGTTATTATTAGGGCCCGAGCAGTGACCATGCGAAGGCCCTATTGTATCTGTAGAAATTCTTTTAAGGGCCCGAGCACTGACCGTGCGAAGGCCCTATTGTATCTGTAAGGATTATTATTATTTTAGTAACAAATGAATCGCATTTTTGGAAGCTTTCCCATGCTCGAAAAATAATGAAACGTGGTGCATGTCAGTCGTGGCAGAAAATCTTGTGTTTTCTAGGGGTCCACTATGAGCATGGCAAAATGGCCACTCAGGGGCCCATAAACTGTACCTGCCGGGGCCCTTTTCTCCGATATGCATAAAAATCGGCACACACGTAGATACACACCACCACAGGGGATATAGGGACCGAGCCAGTATCAACTGGAAGGTCCCTATTGTTTTTCGAATGTTTATTAGGGACCGAGCCAGAATCAACTGGAAGGTCCCTATTGTATTTGCTCAAATTATTATTATTTTCAGAACTTTAACTGCATTTTTGACCCCCTGAACATATACGTTTCGTTTTTATTTGGAAAAGTGGTCAGGCCTGGTGTAACTTAGATATTTTATGCGTCACTTTCGGGTCGGTCACTAGGTGGCGCTACTATTAAGAAAAGTGCGTTTAGGCTAATAACTCCCGCATCGTTTGTCGCACATTCAAAAACCTTATATCCACGCGTTCGGTGAATGTAGCTGCATCTCCCCATATAGGCCACCCTATTTCCGCTTAGATTTTTTTTGCTAGAGCGCAAAATGTCACAAAATTACTTTTTCGTGTTCCTCCTACGTGCTTTGTCCTATTTGCACAAAATTTTTCACATAGCATCTGGGGACTGTCCTGACAAAAAAAGTAATTTGAAGAATTTTGATATTTCAAAAAATAAGCAAGTTATAAAATCAGCACATTTTTCCACATTGGTATGTCCGATTGACACCAAGCTTTGGTCCATAGTTCCCCATGTCTTCCTTAGGCATCGTGCACAATCGTGAACAATTTGAGGCCACCGCCACAAGGTGGCGCTCTTTAAAAGGAAGACGTTTATATCTCCGTATCTGCACGTGATTAAAAGGAAACTTGGTACGATGATTGCCCATGGCTCCCTGAGGCTCTCTAAAAAATGTGTCAACAATCCGCCACTAGGTGGCACTCTGGTGGCAGGGTAAATCACTGTGCGGAGTTAAAACGGAATGTCAAAACTGTGATGCCATTTCCAGCATTTCAGGGCTTCAATTTAACTAACTCCTCCTACAGTTTTTATCAGATTGACTTCAAATTCCATCACTGCAATCTAGACACATTGGTGATCAAAAGTTAAACAAATATTTACTGTGCGTCAAACGGTGTGTCTGTGGAGGGGCGCCAAATTTCTAAGTTTCGCAGTGAAAAGTCGCGCTATGAAAGCGTAAGTTATTTGCACGGTGTCTGAAATGCGTGGCGACATAGAGCGGTCCCCCTCGGCTTACGTCGATGACAGCTTGGGCGTGGGGCGACGTGACATGGCGTGGCTGTGGTGGGCGAACGCCGTGCATGCCCCGACGGGGGTTGATGGCGAGGTCTCGCCCAATGCTGCTTGCAGCTTTAATTATTCTTATTTTTGCTCAGAGGGATCTGTGTCTCTTTCTGCCCTTTCAGTTGTCAGTCTGGTTTAACTGTTGTCTTGATCTTAGTATTCCTCTTACTTCCCCATCCCAGTCATGTTTCAGAGACAGGTTACGCCAAGCTTTTGAGCGATAGTGTATGTTCTGTTATTGTTTCTTCCACTGTGAATGTTTTCAGTGGTATTTTTAATGTATGCCTTATATGCCTCAGGTAAAAGGCGGGGTGACAGGCCTGTATGATGGAGCAGAGGTGGTGCTGGGACCAGATTCAGGGCTGCTGGAGCCTGGTCCAGAGCAGCAGTTCATCAACCAGAAGATGAGGCCCGGTTCTGGGGTGCTGTCAGTTCAGGTGCTTCCAGATGGACCCACACGTGTCCTGCAGGTGAGAACGACACTCCCTACAGACACACATTAAGCACTGGACTATTCCTTAAGATCCCCTCCTCACTTGTTTGCTGTCATTAAATAATACATAATAAATTAAAGCTGCAAGCAGCGATGAACGGGCCCTCGCACTGCACGCAACTCGGAGTGTGCTGAAGCTGCGTCACGAGCCAGCGTAACACATGCAGACCACAACATGAAAATTTCATGTAAATCAGATCAAAATCGCCACGCAGTGCTTACTTCCTGTTGCCAGTAGGTGGCGCTATCACTATATCTGAAAACATATGAAGTTTCATTGAGATCGGATCATGTACACTGAAGTTATGACAACTTCCTTTTTCATGGCGAATCGTCAAAATTGGACGCCATGCCACAGGCATACCGTTTTGACAGAATTCACAACTTTTAATCATGAATGTCTTTCGACTGCACTAATTGAATTTGAAGTTGATCCAATAAATTCCCTAGGAGGAGTTCGTTCAAATACAATGTGTGCAAATCGCCAAAAATGACCACAAAATTCAAAATGGCTTATGTTGTGTTTGGGTTATGGGTCCAAGAGGCTTTTCTGCTTGTCCGATCATGATACACATGCGTACCAATTTTCGTACATGTCGGTCATACGTGTCTTGGAGGCTGATTCTGGGGCGGCATGGCTAAGCCATTTTGCGACACCCATCTGCGGGACCAAGACAATACGTTAGCGTTCACCACGACTGAATTTTGTGCAAAGTTTCATGAGGTTTCAGGCATGTTTAGCCCCTCAGTGGTCAATGTTAACACAAAGGCTGATTTTCGCCGCATCGCCATGTCAACGTGGTCCTTCGAAAATTCTTAAGATTCACAAGCTGTCATGGTCATCATCTTAAGGGAGTTCTGACAGAATTTCAGCTGGATCTGGTAAATCTCCTGCAAGATAAAAATATAAAAATGACATTTCCTTTCACCTCTAGGTGGCACTATCTCTATTAGTGAATATTATCACATATATGTGTTCAGGGCAGGACTGTTATCAGACAAGTGCAATTTTGAGCCGAATGGACCATGTACACTAAAGTTATAGCAAATTTGTGTGTTCTGGCGGCACATCAAAATTTGACGACACTTCCCGGACACGCCCTTTAATAAACCATCATCACAATCATGAAATATCATCAACAACATGTTTTGCATTTCTTGACTAAATTTCAGCTGGATCTGATCATCTTGCTAGGAGTAGATTGAAGTATAAAAAAATTACATTTCCTTTAACCACTAGGTGGCGCTCTCAGTACTACTCAATATTATCACATAGATGTGCTCAGGGCGGGACTCTTATCAAACGTGAAGTTTCGCTGAGATCGGATCATGTACGCAGAAGTTATGACAAATTCCTCTTTCATGGCGAGTCGTTGAAATTCCACGCCACGGGCACGCCGTTCGACGGAATGTCGTAAATAGCACAACTTTTGCATGTCTTTAGATGGCTGTGTCCAAAAATAAGGACCCGGCTCTAGGGGCGCCCATTTTTTACTAGACGACCAATGGCGAGCGCGATACCGTTACTCCTCCAAGACCCACCTACGTCGGTGTAATCTCTCCTCCAAGATCGTTTGTAGAGGAGAACTTTGTCGGAGAAAGGTTCGGGGTTGAAAAGAGACTGGGGCCCGATCAACCTGACCTCTCCCAACTCAGACAGCAGGCTAGCCGAGAAAGGGAAGCAGTATATGCGCGGCGTCTCCGTAAGCTGGTACACCATGAAGGGCTTGGGCTAGCTGGGCTGGCACTCCATGCTATATGCTTTATTTGCTTTCCATGCTTCCTTTTTAAAACGACAGGGACAGTCCAGCATGGACAAGTTACCGGAGTGACGGATATGAAGCACCTGTCAGAGAAGGTAAAGAAACATGAGAACACCAGGCGCACCATGGGATAACTCTGTAAGCTAGCCCATTTGGAAGGGTGAACATTGCTAACCCAGCTGGAATGAAGGCCACAAGATTGCGGTTGAGGAAACATTAATGGGGAGGTTGGATAAAACAGGCACATTTTAAATCCAAAATTATCGATTGGTGTGAAGTTTTGTGGGGCTTTTGAGTTGGCTTGCCGTGGGCATGAGAGACTGACTCGGGACTCCTCGACAACCCCGCATTTTCCGGGATTGGTGGATTAATGTTTGCCTCCTTGACACGTGTGCTGGCGGACCCTGAAGACAGCTAATGTTTTTTAAGGGCACGTCAAAAGACGATACAGAACGAGTGTTGAGTGCATGCGATCAGTGCATAAGGGGATTACATCGGAGGAAGTAAGAGTGCCGATTTTAATCCCCATGTCAAGCCGACGACGTGACGTTTCAGCCCTGCAGCTGGTGCTTGTGCTCACGCTAATCGATGCTAACAGTAACATTCAAGTTCCATTCAGTTTAAATGCCCAAATGAGCTTGTGTTTGTGCATAATGATGTTTATGTTTTTGTGTAAGAACTTTTTAATTTGGAATTAAATTTACTGACTATATTCACTGACACTGGTGTCCTGCAGTTTGTGTTAATTGTATCCGCGATGGTTTACAGAACTAAAAGTATGGCAGCACCGAGAATATTTTTCACCAGCCGCCATGGAAGGTCTGTGTGCAGCATGATGAGGCTCACATCAGTGTAATCTGTCTGCTATATCAATGTTATCGAAGCCCAGAGATTTGTTCTTAGCATGATTTTACAGTGTGAACAAAGCATTTTGTGGCTAGAAAACCACAGAGAATTAAGTTGCAAGCGCGATGACGGGCCCTCGGCACTTCCACGCAATCGGGGGGTGTTCTGCGGCCCGTCATGTTGGCCTGTACGTGTGCGTAACACGTTAGGACTCAACATGAAATTCACGTAAATCAGATAAACCGCCACGCGCACTTACTTCTGTTTCCAGTAGGTGGCGCTATCACTATATCTGAATATTGTCTGTAGACGTGTCGGGGCTGGATCTTATCAACGTGAAGTTTTCATTGAGATTGGACCATGTACACTGAAGTTTATGAGGATGTGTTTAGGGTGGGAACGTTTAGATATGTGAATTTAGTGGAGATTGGACTTGTACATGAAGTGAGTATATCTGATTCATGGGAAATTGCGGAAGTCGGGGACGACAAAATAAAAATGGCCAATTCTATGCACGCGAAACGTGGCTTTCCACGTATGTATAGCAGAATTTTAAACAGTTTCGCAACATGCCGAAAACTCATGGAAGACCAGGGCAGTCGTGGCGAAAAATTTCGTATTTCCTGGGTCCCTATGAGCTGGGAAAACAAGCCTCAGGGGGCCATAACTGTTACCACCCGGGGGGCTTTTTACATAGCATAGGAATCAGCCACGCATCAGATTTTCTCCAGACGAAAAAAATCTAGTTGGGCGCATATCCCAAACCCAACAGGAGTCGCCTTTTGGGGGGAATTTTTGGTGGTCATTTCTGCGATTTGCACACGTGTATTTGAACAAACTCCTCTAAGGGAATTGATCGGATTCACTTTAGATTGGACACCAGCCTCCTCACTTGTTTGCTTCATTTAAATTAATACATAATAAATTAAAAGCTGCAAAGCACGATAAACGGGCCCCTCGCACTGCACGCAACTCGGAGTGTGCTGAAAGCTGGTCACGAGCCAGCGTAACAACATGCAGACCCCCAAACATGAAAATTTCATGTAAACAGAGCCAAAATCGCCACGCAGTGCTTACTTCCTGTTGCCAGTAGGTGCGCTATCACTATATCGAGAACATATTAAGTTTCCATTGAGATTCGATTTCCGATTACCAGCTGAAGTATCAGCTCCATCATGGCGAATCGCAAAATTGGACGCCAGTCCACAGCAATACCGTTTTGACAGAATTCACAACTTTAACAGAATGTTTCTTTTCGACTGCACTAATTGAATTTTTGAAGTTGAATCCCCCAGGTAAATTCCATAGGAGAGCGGTTCAAAATACAATGTGGCCAAAATCCCCCAAAAAGACCACAAAATTCCCAAAATGCTTATGTTGTTTGCGGTTGATGGGTCCAAAAGGCCCTTCTGCTTGTCCGATCATGATACACATGCGTTACCCAATTGTGCGTACATTCGGTCATACGTGTCTTGGGAGCGATTCCTGGGGGCGGCCATGCTGAAGCCATTTTTGCGACACCCCATCTGGGGGACCAAGACAATAGCGTTACCGTCACCACGGACCTGAAATTTTGTGCAAAGTTTCATGAGCGGGTTTCAGCAATTGTTAGCCCCTCATGGTCAATTAACACAAAGGCTGATTTCGCGCATCGCCATGCAACGTGGTCCTTCGATAGAAATCTTAAGATTCACAAGCTCCATGTCATCATCTAAGGGAGTTTCTGACAGATTCAAGCCTGGACTTAAATCTCCTGCAAGATAAAAATATAAAAAATGACATTTCCTTCCACTCTAGGGGCACTATCTCTAATCTAGGAATTATTCACAATATGTTTCAGGCAGGACTGTTATCAGACAAAGGCAATTTTGAAGCCGAATGGACCATGTACACTAAATTATAGCAAATTTGTTGTTCTGCGACATCAAAATTTGACACACTTCCCGACACGCCCTTTTAATAAAACCCATCATCACAATCATAAATACATTCAACAACATGTTTGGCATTTCTGACTAAATTTCAGCTGGATCTGATCATCTTTGCTAGGATAGATTGAAGATAAAAAAATTACATTCCTTTAACCACTACGTGGCGCTCTCCAGTACTACTCAATATTACACCAATAGATGTGCCCAGCGGGACTCTTAATCAAACGTGAAGTTTTCGCAGAGATCGATCATGTACGAGAATTATGACACATCCTCTCAGCAGTCGTTGAAATTCCACGCCACGGCAACGCCGTCGACGAATGTCGTAAATAGCACAACTTTTGCATGTCTTT